GGGCTGCGATGTTCGCTAGGTAGATGCCGTCCAACCCTGCAGACTTGTGCCCTTGCAACCCCCTCAGCACGAGCTCTATTTCCTCCGGGTGAAAGAGCGGCTCTGCCATCACCGAGACCCGGGTAGTTTGGAGGACCGGTGTGGATCCCCCATCCGCGTGATGCATCCTCTCAAAGAACCTTTTAAGGATCTCAGCTTTCTCTGTGTTACTCCCAGCATGCTGCCCGTTTTCATCTGTCACAGCCTACTGCTGACCTCAGGGCAACCTTCGACTGGACGTAGTTGTAGTACGCCTTCGTGCATGTCTTGGCCTTAATTGAGAGACACTTTTCATAACTCAACTAACATGCTCGCTGAATCCTCAGCGCAGCTTCAGCAGCCCTTCTGTATTTTTAAAGCCTTATATGGCCTCCTGTCCCTCTGAAACGTGTCCATGCAGCGTTTCCGTCGTTGGGCCTTAACCACTCCACTCGTCCACCACGGGGGTCTTCCTTGCCTTCGGATTTTCCGCAATGAAGCAGATTTTTGTATAAGATCAATAAGGCTGCCCCTTATAACTCCCCACAGTTCCCCAACTGTGTTTATGCTTTCTCCCCAGCTTAAGGTGGCGGCCTTATCTAGCAACCCTTGAGTGTTCATTCTTTTAAAGGACTGTCGTGTCTTATTCGGTTTGTTGTCTGGCGTAGATGTTACATCGAAGCGTATTACTACGTGGTCGCTGCGATGAACTGGAGCTCTCAGTAACAGGTTTCTTACATCGTTTGGGCACTTGGTTAGGACCAAGTCAAGCAGACCTGCTGTGCATCCGGCCCTACATCTCGTGGGCTGTAGTATATGATGAATTAAGTCTCGCTCCCGAAGAAAGGCAATCAGGCGAGCCCCGAAGGATGTTGGAGGAGCCCATTCGTCCTGCCAGTTTACTTCTGGTGCGTTAAAGTCCCCCATTATTACTATGTTATTCGGTGCTTCGCCTACTGTTTTCAGTAGATCTAGCGAGCAAGCGTCTTCCTCCACGCTCGTTGATGGGCTTCTGTATACGCAAACGAAGTTGACCCACACGCTCTCACTTTTGACCTTGCACGAGACAG